GTGAGCCCTGGGTTGGGATCCTGATGACCACTAATGGTCAAATTTGTGACCTCTAAGTCATGGTCTTGTTTGTAAAGTGACGGGGCACTGACGGGGAGGTTTAAGCAACCTCTCAGGGCCCTGTAAGTCCTAACATTCTATAAGGAGGGCATGTTCCTAGATGCCGAGTCATCGGCTTCTGGTGACTGGGAGTCCTGTGTTGCCAGCTGGGGCCGAGAGAAGATCTGTCCCTCCGCAGGGACGTATGACTTGAGTGGCACTCTCCCAGCCCAGGAGCAGGCCCCGTCTTTCTTTGCTTGCCCCTCCATTGACATCACAGAAGGCCCGGAGGAGCCTACCTGTGGTTGTCTCCACGGTCAGTCCTGGCTAAGCTTACCCTGCCAGTGTAGACAAGACCCTCGCACCTCCCAAGAGCTAGAGGTCTCCCTATTCTACTGCCTTAGATGCACGTCGCTCCAGAGCTTGCCACCACTGTGCCACCAAAGCCAGCAGCTGTGTCTGTGACACTCGGGGAGCACGGTGACCCTGCCTGGGCTCCCTGGTCCTGGGGCTCTGGCCCTAGATGCTGCAGAAGCAAGAGCTGCATGGCTGCCCCTGGGGCTTGGGTCGGTGGCCAGAGGCGTGGTCTCCTCTCCCCATGCTCTGAGAATTGCTGGGGCAGCCTCCGCCGGCCAGAGCTGCCTCCTCTTGCAGCCCTGATGCCCTACTTGGGCTGAGCAAACGGTGTGAGGGGAGGGGGCGGCCAGCGGTAGTGGAACCAGCAAGGGAGGCCGGGCCGGGTCATGATGGGTTAGACAGCAGGGCGAAGGTCGGGTGTGAATGCGGAGGCCCATGAGGGAGGTGCCCAGAGCTGGTGGAAGGCAGGAGCCGTGTGGATGGAGGGGAGCGGCAGGTGCGGGCAAACGTGAAATGGGAGATATCATGATCCAGCTCTGCCATCTTGAGCAGGCTAGCTGAGCTCTCCGACCCTCTGCTTCTCCGTCTGCAGATGGGGGCGGCACGGTATGGGTTTAATGAGATAATACAGAAAATGTGCTCAGTACGGTGCCTGGCCCCTGGTATTTTTCTCCAAAAGTCAGCAGTAGGTCTGCAGCTGCTTGCTGTTCATGACCTCCATCTCCACTGACAACACCAGGTTTCCTGTCTTAGTTACGGGCTGAACAGTGGTGTTCTTAAGCAGCACGGCTAGCTGTTGAGGGGCGCAGGGTGTTCACGATGTGGTCAGCTGTGGACACTGGCTTCTGAGAGACCCGGGCTGTGCTCGGGGCGGGGGGGGGGGAGGGCTAGTGGGTAGACATGGAGCTCAGGAGAAGGGTCCGGAGACTCCATGTCCAGCGTTCAACTGGTGGGCTGCCTGGGGCCAGAGCTTGGTGGTAGAGTTGGGGGGTTAGGGTGGGGAGATTGAGGGGGGACGGTCACCAGGTTTAGCGACAAAAAAGCTTGGTTCCAACCGGGCTCTGCCACCAACTAGCAGGTCCCTTCCTACTCCTTACCTTCCCCAGTTGTAAAGTGACAGACTTCATCATGATGCTTCTAGGGGACCTTACCGTTAGGACCCTGGCAAAGAGTCTCTACAGGTCCCATCTTATGTGGAGCATGGACTCCTTTAGAAAACTGAAGAGGGCATCAGGCCCTCACACAAGCAACACAAACTTCTGCATAAAAATTCCTGGGTGTTCATGGATTCTCTCAGATCCCCCCATAGACCTGGGAGTCTGGGGTCCTAATCATCCTCATACATAGGGAGCGATCATGCCCACCTGCCAGCTAGCAAGCTGTAATAAAGGAAAACAGAATGCTGGGTCTGCCCGCCACAGCCACGGCCCTCATACACACCAGCTAATAATGAGTTTTTCTCCTGTTTGCTGATGGAGGACACTTGTAATAAAGTTTAATGTGGAAGAACACGGTGCATTTAACCAAAGCTGTAAACATCTCTAATTCTATTTAAAACTATAGGGTCCAGTACATTAACGTTTAACAATCAGACTCTAAATTGGTGTGAAGCTAATCGAACTGTGTTTATTAGGAAGGAGACACCAAGTCATCTTTTATCAATGACAACAGAAGGAGCAGAAAACTGCCCCCCCCCACCCTATGCATTAATTAAGAGTCTTCCCCAAATCGCCACCCTTTGGAAAGACACGGATTGCCTCGGGGAAAATCTACTGAGCAGAGCACACAGGGCTCAGTGCCAAAGTCTGTTAGCCCTGTGCACTTGGGGAATTGTTTTCCCCAGCAAAACAAATCATTTTTAAAAATGCAAAATGTACAATTAATTCAGAAAGAGCAAAGGCTCAACCTCTATTCTATTTGACCTCTGCAGAGTGCACACGGCTGAGTGCTTCCTCCTTCGAGAAACTCCCAGACATGGCTTTCTCTGATCGCTTGCTCTCCCCTGGCCTCCTTCAGGCTCCGCACCTGCTCCTGGAGCTGCCAGCAGGGAGCTCCTCATCCCTTAGGCCTGGGCACCTTCTCTCCACATTGGGCTGCCTCTCCCTGGGGATTTTGCTCACTGTCAGGCTTCGGCTGTGACCTATACTCTCAGGACAGCCCCCAACCTTGCAGGGGTTCCAGATCCACATTTCCCAGCAGTTCACATCGATGCCACTCCAAACACGGTCCGGATTCAGAAGCATGGGCATTCCTTGGGGGCTTGTCAGAAACATAGACTCCCGGGCCCCATATAGACTTCCTGAACTACGATCCACAGTGTATGAAGATCCGGTAATGTCCTAAAGTTTAGGGAGCACTCATCTATCCTACCCATCTGAACACTCCACCATAGCTCACATTCAACCTGTCCATGCAGAAGGCAGGCCCTTCCTCCAGACCATGAACAAGACGTCTTCTTTGTTTTCCATCCTGGTGAATAGCTTCTGTCCAGTGTATGGGGTGGGGTTGGGGGGTGGGGGGTGATGGAGAGTCAACATCCCCACCATGTGGTTGCCTCACCTTATAATGGGCTAGGAACGACACAGAGCTGGGTCCCACCTTCTCCCCCAGGAAACACAGGGACACTGAAAGACATGTTCTATATGGAAGCCACACTAAACTTCACAGCCACACAAAGACTCCCTCCAGTATCCCTGTGGCGTGGCTCATTTGAATCTCCTCCTCGTGCCTTTCCCCTGCTGTCCCCAGTGCTGCTTAGTACTGCTCCAGGCCTTCTGCTATCCCTACTCCGAGCCAGAGGGTCCCTCCATCAGGAGAATATCAGTCCTGACAGTCCCTCTCCATCGAGAAGTGTCTTCAGGGCCCTGAGAAGGTCTGCTCAGTGGGAAAGTGCAGAGCACAGCAGAAACTCATGGCTGCAAGGACCTCATGGAACATAATGTAAGTGGACTCCTTGGGTAGGGACACTCAGTGGGAGTCTTTTGCTTCCTGAGCTGGGAAGCAACTTTGATGCATACTATATTAGTCAGAATTCTTGCCATTGCAACCTGATGAGCTTGAACAAAACCAGGATTTAGAAGATAGGAAAAGAGGGTAGTTAATTGAATCAAAAGCAGATCTGAAGGAAAGAGAAAAGTCCGGGGGATTCTAGGGTCTGGGAGCTAGGATTCTGTGCTTTCCTCCCTGCTTCTCTCTCGAAGTCTCCTTCATTCTTCAAGGCTTCTCTACTCACCAGAGACATGGCTGGAGGCAGATCTGGTATGTGGCATCCTAGCTTCGCTGCCCAAGGGAAAGATGCTTTGTTTCTCCCAAGGATTCTGATTAGTCCAGGCCAGGCCTCTTGCAAGCTTTGGACCATTTTTTGTGGCCTGGAGCATGAGCCCCATTCTTGGCCCAGCCTAGGTTGCAGTCATGCATATCAGAGGCTGAGTGATGAACGAGGGTGTGAACAGTCCCTGAAAGGATCAACTGGTTTAGTGTTCTTATCCCAAGTGAGAGTTTGGGCTTATCAATGTGTGGGATGACCCAGATGACTATGCACTAAAAAATACCGAGTGCCCCATGTCATTTTCACTCCAGCAAGTATCAGGAAGGGTGTGGAAGGTGGGGGGCGGGGGTGCTGGCTTTTTCTGACTCGCCCTGTGAGCTAACAAAATCATGATGCTTTAATGAAGACAAGATCCCAGAGAAATCCCAACCCTTTCCCCCCACAACATGGGGCGTTTAGTTCAGAACTTTAGTTCAGAGCTTGAAGATGCCGTTTTTCACTGCCTTGCTTCCTGCCATGTTTCCATGTTTCCATGTTATGCCTGGCCTAGGTCAAAGTTCACCACCAAACCTTAGAGTATCTGTGAGTAACGGGTTCTTACTTGTTTTGATTTCATTTAAATGTACAAGCAATTGTCCCTTTTATAAACTGCTTTAATATAGTTGTTTCAATAGATGCCTGAGAGTAAAAGCAAGTTGAAGAGCTTTTCCTAATTTCTATTTGATATGTTTCCCCTTACTTTAGAAATTTAAGGCATGGTTAGTGATTTGCTTGATAGAGAATAAACAAGTAGACCCATTTTTTTAGTTTACTATGACAATAATGTCCAGATTTATCATCCCAAAGAAGCACCAGGGACAGATCATCCATTGCTTCTAGTTGTGAGCTGAACTGGGACGGTTTGCTTCTGGAGATAATGGTGGGATGAACTCTGCTCAGATGTGGACGGTACCTTCCAAGATTCCTTCAGGAAGCATTTTCAGTAGGGGGTGATGGTCTGGCAGACTCCTTTTATACTCTATGTCTATCTGGTCCCCCAGACACACAGCATAGGGTGGATTTATGCAGTTATGACCAGAATGTTGGAGAAAAAGTCTGGGTTGACTCTATAACTGTGACCTTTAAGACTAACCTGCAGCTACCAGCTCTGAAAAGCTTGTGCTCTTCTTAGTGGCATGTGTTTATTTCCATATATGATGGCCCTAAACTCCCTCTGAATTTAAGGACATGGATTTGAGGGTGATTGAAGTTCAGTTTGGTTCTGCAGAAGGCTGGGGGCTCCCTACCCTCTTGCCTCTCCCCACAATCTTCTCTCCATGTACCCCACTCTCCACCCCCACCTGTCACCCCCGGGGGCCCCACTAGCCCATATGGCTCCTCGTGCAAATGAAGAAATCACCCTCCTTTCTCAAAACACCAAAGAACCACAGTCTGCTGGAACATTGCCATGATAAAATAGGATATGCTGCCCATGATAATTATATGAATTGTGTGCCAACCATATATTCACTCTCCTAAAGGATGCTCTGGGAAGGTCCAGTGAATCCTTCCAGGTGGTATTTCTTCCTCAAAAGCTGTGTGGTTTATTCACTATCTTCGAAATTTGGCAGAGGGGAAGGGAAATGAGATGCAGGTATAGGCCAGAGAGAATGACTTCGTCTTTGTAAAGGCAGATTATTTCTGCTTCTAGAAAATCTACCTGCTCCCAATGCGGACCCTTTCCAATAAACCACAAGATGTACTCATAAGCTATCATGGGTCTTTGCGAGTGTTACTGTAGAGCTAAGCTCATGGACAAACATTTGCTTTTTGAAGCTATTGTAATGAGAGCCTTACACTGTAAAGAAATTTTCATTCTGAAGATAAGTACTGGCTGTCGCACGAATGTTAACACAGTGTTTTGTGAAGCAACGTACAGTATCCAGAATCTCGCAGTAGTCGTTATCCCATTACAAGAATTCTATGACAGGTTAAGTCACCTTAATATAAACATGAGTCTGAGATAATTAGGGAATAAGAAACTTGTAAGACCGAGTGCACATGGCTATACAGAGGAGCACAGCTCACACTCAAGGCTGTGTTTAAAATATATAATTTACCGTATATACATGATCCATTACAAAGCCAAACAATTTCTGCAGTGTGCAGTAAATAACCGCCCAGAGCACACCCACACAGAAAGTGTCCTTAACACAGGCAACAGGATGTCTCTCTTCTAGAAGGTCTCCATCTTCAGGGAGATCCTGGATGTTGCATCAGTCCACACAGGGCAACTTCAGCACAGATGTATTTGCCCCGCATCCCTGCCTGAGCCCAACCCAAACACATGAGAAATCACATGTGAAGTCGAGTTGGGAGAGGCACTTTACAACAGTAGGGTCTTTAAAACACATTTTTCCAGCTCGGCCTGCACTTCCTACTCTCCTACCCCAGTGGAACCAGGCAAAAAAACTCTGCTCACACAAGAGCGGACATTCAATCAGAGCTGGTAACCTCGGCTTACTTCCAAGAGGCCCACTTACTTCCTCCAGCGTGTCCATCGATGGCTAGCTCCCTCCCTTGCTCCTTTGGAAAACAGTGAGTAAGAACTTTCTGGGGAATATGAGTTTCTATAGCAATATAAGTTCACCGTGCTGAAGGGGGGGGGGGTGTCCTTTAGAATGGTATGCTACTCGCCCTGCATCCTTGGGTGATCACAGGTGGGGAAATGGGCACTGGCGTATTTAGAGACAGTGGACTGTTAGCTTAGACATCAAAGTTCCCCACAATCTGCCTCTGCCCTTAAACCACCAGGGTCAGTGCATCTATTTAAAACAAGAGATGCTATCTTGAGTGACCATTTGCAATAAGCAGTTCGCTCTGATTGAGGTGCCCTAGAAATGTTCTCTGACCTTTTGAAAAACCAATTAGTACATATCTACCATCTCACACTTTGGCCTATAATGGCATTTCCTCTAGCTATATACTATGAGCTTGGTATCACAAATACAGGAAGAGTAGAAGATTAAAATAAGATTTTAAAAAGATTAAAGCCCAAAGAAAGGAGAAGAAAACATGAAGAGGTTTGGCTCAGCAGAAAATCTCCTTGGGTGCTCTCAGAATCAGAGTTCACACTGCTCAGGGCTCGGACCCAGACACATCCTGTCCTGGGAGATTCGTCCAAGGGCTGTGGCCCCTACTCTTTGATGGAGAGGAGCCTCGTACCTCGTGTGTCATACCTTTCCTCGAAGGCACCTGGGACGCCGCTGGAAAAGGGCTCCTCACCACACAGAAGGCACGAGGTAAAATACAAAAATAAGGATTTTGTTTCCAAGATATCATAAATAACTGGGGTGGCAGGTATTAAATAGGACCACGGAAGAGGACGCCACGTTACAGCTTGTTCTCCTCAAAGAGGATCTGGGCGTAGACAGTGCTGGTGGGGAGGCCTTTGGCAGCCCGGTGGGGTTTGACCAGCTCCAGCTCAGCGTAGGTCAGGTTCTCCTCGGCAATCTTTGGCTAGAAGACAGAACACAACACAACTCTAGCTGACCACAAAGAGTTCCACATCATACCTTCATTCATCGGGCATGCATTTTCACTGCATTCTGAGGATCCAAGGGGGAAAAGATGGACACAAACTTTCCAAGGATAGATAAAAACCTAATTAATAATAAAGATCTCATTGTCTTCTAAAGAACACTATGCCCTGCAAAGAGACACCATCATTTATTCTTAAGTTGACATAGAACACTAACAAAAAATGATTAAACATGAGGCCATAAAATAAACTTTAATTCTGAAAATAATGTTAGCAGTTTCTCTCTTTTTTAAAAAAGATTTTATTTATTTATTTATTTATTTATTTGAGAGAGAGAGAGAGAGAGCACGAGACCGGGGAGGGGCAGAGGGAGAGAATCTTAAGCAGACTCCCCACTAAGTGTGGAGCCCAACTCAGGGCTCGATCCCATGACCCTAAGATCACGATCTAAACAGAAATCAAGAGTCAGATGCTTAACCAACTGAGCCACCCAGGTGTCCCACTAACAGTTTCTGGTCAAAAGGAAAAAATAAATAAATAAAAGATAGAGCAGAAACAAAAAATTCTAGAAATTAATAACAAAATTAGAATACCATCTATACATCGCCTTGAATGACTTAACCTGTACAAAACTAAAGCTCTGGAATATCTTGATAATGATGAAAAAGAAAATATTACTTGCTAGAAACCAAAGAATGCAGTACTCACAGAAAATTCACAGTCTTAAATATTTATATTAATAATATGAATTAAATGGATCAAGCACCCAATTAAAGAAGTTAGAAAAGAACAAAATAAGTGAAAAAAAAGTAGAAAGAAAAACCAATAAAATTAAAACCAGACTGTATGAATCAGAAAGCAGAACAATAGTAGAATTATAAAAATACCCAAAAGCTTGTGCTTGGAAAACACCATAAAACAAATAAACTGAAAAATAAATTAATCAAGATAAAATGGGAAAAAAGCCCAAATGACTAACATAGGAAATGAGGAAGGGGATATAATGTAAATAAATTTTTTTAATTAAAACAAACAAACAAAAAAAAAAACAACCTTGCTCAACTCATTGCCCCAAATTTCAAAATACAGGATAAAATGGGTAATGTTCCAAAAATATAAACATTAACTTCAGAAAATATGAATGTACTAATTATTATCAAAAAAAGAAAGAAAAGGAAAAGAAAAGAAGGGAAGGAAATACTGTCAAAGAGCTCTTTCTCAAGAATACCAGGCCCAGGCAGCTTTATAGGAAACTTTCTATGAGAAATTCCCTTAAGGAAAAGATAATTCCAGTGTAATTAACTGATCCAGAACATTAAAAGAAGAAGAAAAACTTCATGTATTTTAAAACAATCTATTAATGTAAATTTTAAATCAGATTTACTCAGAATGAGGAAGCACATTAAAAGGCAGATAACCGTGTTCCAGGAATGCAAAGATGGTTCAATGTTAGAAAAATCTACCAATACAATCCACGATAGCCATAGATGCAAACAACAATACGGTTATCTCTATAGATGCTGGAAAGGTATTTAGTAAAATTAAAAAGAAACGTTTTTGTTAAAAACAACATTTGAATGAAGGAGGCAGAGGTGTATATTTTCCTACTATGATTAAGGAACATAATTAAAATAAAGAATAATTGGTGGATTACTATGGAGTGATGTCAGCATCACACCAGCAGGAGTCATTCCTTTCTTCTCTCCCCTTCCACGTACAACTAACTGGACATCCATAACCAAAAAGAAAAACACCTCTGCACAGCATACCAGGATAGCCAAGAGATCTGACCATCTGTGCACCTAAGGTGGGCGGACGGGACTACAGAGGGAGGGTGGTGGTGGTGACGGAGCCAGCGGTGGCATGTGCTGTGATGGCAGAGAAGGTGTGGGCTGCTCCAGCAACCAGCCAGCACCACCTTTCTGGCAGAGGAGGTGGAGGGTGAGGTCAGGAGTGAGTGGTGGTCGGCCTGGCTATGTGCTACACAGCTGGAGGGACCAGTTGCTCTCTCTGAGGAGACCACAGGGATGGGGGAGAGGAAAAGAGACTGAAAGAGGACCATCCCCACTTCAGGATCCCCCTACGGAGCAGTGGGCACACCCAAAACCCCAAGCACTGAGTATACACCTTCCCTACTCACCCCTGCTCTGCCCCACCTTTTGCTTTTTTTTTTTTAAATGCATTGTGCTCCCAATCTGAGCAGCTTGTCAGATCCCTTAATAGAAGCCAAAATCTTGTGCTATAGCGCCACCTTCTGGAAAACAAAAGGAAGGCTCCTAACTACCAACCTGTTGAACAGTTAGAATCAAAGTAAACAAAACCTTGCCTACATTTTAAAAGAAGGTGTTCACTACTTCAAATGCAGTGGCAGAACCATTTCTCCTCAAACACCATGAAAAATCACAGTAATATGAAAACAATCACAGTAACGTGGTATCACAAAAATAAAATGACAATTTGCCAGCAACCAAAGACATGGAATATTATAACCTAACTGATAATTTAAAACACTTCTTGTAAAGAAGTTCAAGCCACAAGAAAACTCAAGAAGATGATGCAGTGATCTCAGCAATAAAACTAATAAACAGAAGGAATATTTTACTAAAGAGACTGAAATTCCAGAACAGGACCAAATAGAAATTCTGGAGCTGAAGAACTCAATAAATGAGACGAAGAATGCATTAGAATGTACTGGAAATACAGCATATCATATGGAAGAAAGAATTAGTGAGCTCAAGGACAGAAAAATAGAAATGATTCTGGTGGAAGAGAAGAGAGAACTGAAATGTTTAAATAGTGAAGAAACCATGTGAATCATCTGACTCTATTAGAAAAGCCAACATAAGAATAATGGGTATCCCAGAAGGAGGAGAGAGGGGAAGGGAAGAGAGCCTATTTAAAGAAATAAGAGCTGAGAACTTCCCACTCCTGGGGAAGGAATGGGATATACAAATCCACAAAGCTAATAGAACACCTTATTATCTCAATGCAAAAAGATCCTCTCCAAGACACATTATATTAAAACTGTCAAAAGTCAACAATAAAGAAAGAATTTAAAGACAGTGAAAGGGGAAAAAAAGACAGTAACCTACAAAAGTACCCCTGGTTAGGCTATCTGCAGATTTCTCAGCAGAAACTCCACAGGCCAAGAGAGAGAAGAATGACATATTAGAAGTACTAAAAGATGGGGCGCCTGGGTGGCTCAGTTGGTTAAGCAACTGCCTTCGGCTCAGGTCATGATCCTGGAGTCCCTGGATCGAGTCCCGCATCAGGCTCCCTGCTCAGCAGGGGGTCTGCTTCTCCCTCTGACCCTCCCCCCTCTCATGTGCTCTCTCTCATTCTCTCTCTCTCAGATAAATAAATAAAATCTTTAAAAAAAAAAAAAGAAGTACTAAAAGATAAAAACTGTCAGCCAAGAATACCTGGCAAAGTTATCCCTCAGAAATGAAGGAGAAATAAAGGTTTTCCCACACAAAAGCTGAGAGAGTTCACCACCACTAGACCTGCCCTACAAGAAATGTTGAAAGGAGCTCCTCAAGCTGAAATGAAAAGATGAAAGTACACAAAACTCTGATTAAGGCAATACATAGAATTAGAATATGATAACTCTTCTTTAGAACAGTTTGTTAACCTCTTAACTACAGCATGAAGGTTAAAGGAAAAGAGCATTAAAGATAACTACAGTTACTACAACTTGGTAACAAAGTCACAGTATAAAAAGAGATCATTTGGGTTTTTTTTTTTTTAAGATTTTATTTATTTATTTGACAGAGAGAGAGAGACACAGAAAGAGGGAACACAAGCAGGGGGAGTGGGAGAGGGAGAAGCGAAGCAGGCTTCCTGCTGAGCAGGGAGCCCGATGCAGGGCTCAATCCCAGGACTCTGGGATCATGACCTGAGCCAAAGGCAGAGGTCTAACGACTGAGCCACCCAGGCACCCCTAAAAAGAGATCATTTGTGACATCAAAAATATAAAAGGGGAAGAGTGAAAGAATGGAGACTTCATAGGCAAATGAAAATAAATTACTATCAGCAGCAGAAGGACTACATTATCTATGAAATGTTTTGTGTAAACCTCATGGCAACCACAAAGCAAATATCTAAAGCATAGACACAAAACATTAAAAAAGGGGGGGGGGAGGAGACTGTGCCAATAACCTTGAAAAACCACCAACTTACAAAAGTAGACAGAAACAAGGAAAAAGAAACAATGGAAAGACAAAATAACCAGAAGGCAAAAGACAAAATGGCAATAGTAAATACTTACATATCAATATTCATCCTAAATGTAAAATGGATGGAACTCACCAATCAAAAGGCACAAGTGGCTGGACAGATAAAAAATAAAACCCAACTAAATGCTGCCTACAGGAGAATCATTTCAGCTCTGAAGACACACAATAGGCTTAACATGAAAAAATGGAAGATGATATTCCAAGCAAGCAGAAATGAAAAATTAGACATAGCCAAACTTATATCAGACAAAATAGACTTCACGCCAAAAAGAGTAACCAGAGACAAAGGTCATTATATAATGATAAAGGGGTCTATACATCAAGCAGATAGAACAACTGTAAATATATATGCTCCCAACAACTAAACAATGAAATTAAGTATACATTAATTATATTAAGTAATTAATATTTAAGCATATATGTATATTATATATTAAGTCATTAATAAAAGTAGTTAAGTAATTAATAAAAGATCATAAGGGAGAAATAGACAACAATACAATAATTGTAGGGGACTTCAATACCCCACTATCAGCAATGGATGGATCATTCAGACAGAAAATCAACAAGGAAATGTTGAAATTGAAACATACTTTAGAACAAATGGACTTAACAGACATACACAGAACATTCCATCCAGCAGAATACACATTTTCTCAAGTGCACCTGGAACATTCTCCAGGACAGATCATGTTAGTCCACAAAACTAATCTTAGGAAATTTAAGAAGACTGAAATCATAAC